ATATATTATTATAAAACATGCTTTAGTTAAGGAGTTATTGATACTTTAAGTGCAAAATGATGATATAAAACCATGATAAAAATGCACTTTTAAGTACTAATCAGCTAACCTTTCTTATTTATATATATGTGGCAGTACATGGCAATAACTGTAGGAATCACAACATTAAAATAATCGTATATTAATTCCTATACATATATATACATGTTATACATTCTATAGTAGAGCAATTCTTACAATGGTGGGGAGTATCCTAGAGCATCCCTTAAACTTCATTTTTTTATTTGTTAGTGGTTTTCTTTAGTGAAGAGTACATTGTCATACTCGAACTTGAAATTTCCTTTCCTTTATCATAACATATAGTGTTTGACTCATAAGAAATAATCTGATTTTTAACAAGGTAGGTCGAATTAGAATTCTAATTTCTCTTTGATCTTTGATAGACTTTTAGTTTAGTTGAAGTGAATCTAATTTCAGTTATATCGATAACTACTTTAGTTGTAATATAAATGATTTTAAGATGTGGATGGATACAAATCATTAGTGCAACTGCTCTTTCCTTTTATCTTACCTTTTGCTTCATTTGAATTTACTATAAATGATTTTCAACTTTTCAAGAGTTATCTTCTAAATGATTTTTTTTATTAATACACTCTATTATCATATAAAAAAGAGAATTGAGATGACCATTGTGAATCTGTTTTCTTTTTTAAATTGAAAAGAAAAGGTTAGGAAATTGCCTATTAATTCAACATAACACAAACCATAAACCCTACAAAAATGCTTCTCAAAAGATTAAAAGAAAGAAGAAGAAAAAATAAAGAGGAGAAGAAAAAGAAGAAGAAGAAACAAAGCAATATATAACGCATCGAGTGGTTCGGTCAAAAAGACGTTAGCTTCCTCACTGCAGCCCCAAATTATTATTATTTTTATGAATATTGAGGAAATTTGATAAGTTGGCCATCTAGTGGATGGAAATCTATCGTATCAAAGAAAAAATATAACAGGAGTTATAGTTAGCACTGAGTGCTTTTGGTTGCCTATATTACTACTTCGTCCTCTCTTTTCACGATATGATTAATTATGCCATGAAATATATAATATTGCCGAGTATAACCGTATTTACACCAGGAAACTAACAGCCCTAAACGCATATACGTAATCGGAAACCTAGCTATTTAGCTATAAGCCAAGCCCTAGTTGCCATCATGCTTTGCTGTTCCCATATCTGAAGGCACAAAACTATGTGTCACAGTCAGTTCTCCACCCAAAAAGTTTAAGAGAAACTGATGCTGTAGCTCTTTTATCCCTAACAATTAACATTCATTCGATTTTAAATCACTCTTTCAGTCTCCCGACATGAACGTCTTTCAACAAGCTTATCCTTGTTTGCAGAGACTCGAGTCTCAAGAATATAAAATGGGTGGAGCTATTTTGGATGGCAACCGCAAGTAGTTTCCCCTTTTTTTTATATCAATTTTTTTCCCCTTTCTAACAAGGGATTAGGGCTTTCTAGGAGCAATTCAAGGAAAATGTTCTCTTCCACAAATAGTTCTATCAATCCTTTTCCAAACCTTTCTTCTACACCTTACAACCCTTCTCCTGACATTATCGACCATGAAACTAAAGATATTTTCCTTTACCACCACCACAATCCACTCTCAATTCCTTTAAATCCAATCAGTACAGTACCCGCCATTGACACCGAGCTTAACATTATGGCAGCTTCAAACAACGCCATAATGTCTAAGCAAGATGTTCATGCTCTCAATGGACAACAATATAACCCTTCCCATTTTCTTTCTGGAAAAATATCTATGAAGAAAGATAGGAACGCAAAAATCTACACTTCTAAAGGATTGAGAGATAGGAGAGTGAGATTATCCATTGAAATCGCTCGTAAGTTCTTTGGTCTCCAAGACATGCTAGGGTTTGATAAAGCAAGACCCTAGACTGGCTGCTCACCAAATCAAAAAAAGCCATTAAGGAATTAGCGCGGAATGGAGGTGTGGGAAGTTTGTCTTCTACTTCTACTAATTGTGAAGTTGTATCTGAAATTGGTGACCTAGAGGAGAGAGTACTTTCAAAGAGTGCGTCACTGGCCTGTGTTTCTACTGACAAAAGGATGAAGAAGTTGAGAAACAGAACAGCCAGTTTTCTTGCCAAAGAGTCAAGGGAAAAGGCTAGAGAAAGAGCAAGGGAAAGGACTTTAGTGAAAATGTGCACTAGAAGACTCAATGAGCCAAAAAAATGTCCTGACTCTAGCCCTAGTTGCTTGAACCAGCATCAAATATCATGTAAGAAATCAGCTGCTTACAATGGGAAATCCTCCTTGAAGGTTATCGCTCCTGATCAAGTTGAAGGTCCTAGCTCCCACTACTCACTTCCCAATCAATCGCCTAGAGGAAACATTTTCGAAGAGTCCTTAGTGATCAGGAGGAAGTTGAAGCCATCAGCAACAAAGGGTTACCAGCACAACTTTCCGATGTTAAGAGATGCGAGTTGCAACAACAACAGCAGCGCCAGCGACTTACCCAATTTAGCCCAAAATTGGGACATTAGCAGTGCAAATATTGCGCACTCCAGCTTCCGTGCTTTCATCAACATGAATCCGTCTACAGGTTTGTTATAAGAACATAAGACCTTCTCAAATTCAAGTCACAATTGATTCAATTTCAACCTCGATTTTGCAGAACTACAACTCCATGGAAAACTTTGGGGGACTGAGAACAATTGATGTCAACAATACATAAGATGGTATATGATCAGTACTATAACTAAAGATGTAAGCTTCAGTTCTCTCGCTGTATCTTTTGGTATCCTAGAAACTGAGTACCTTTATATATACATGGACGAATATATTGATCTCTTTTATCTGTTTATTTCAATTCTTGAAGAAGAAATAAAGAAAGGATGTTTTGCTTGTTTAAGATAAATTACATTATGATGTAGCAGATAACAAGTCAACTATTACAGAAGTTTTCGCAAAATTTACCTTCACTTGTTAAAAAACTGCCAAAATTCTTTTCGCAGAACACTTTTTATTGAAACACATGTATCATTCGTTGTTTTTCTAATTACACACCAATTTATCTTGGCGAGCTGAGTTTTTTCTTTCTATACAAATTAAGAGACTTTTAAATTGTTCCCCCCACCTCATTTTTCTTACCTTCTAGCTTCTTTGTGCTAGAACTTCTTACAGTTATTCCATCCATGCTTGAACTTTGTGTTACGATCTTGCTCATTCATGCGACCAAAAGAGCAATGATTTTCTATTTCAATACAAGCGATATGAGAAAAACAGTTTGATTTTGAGAAAATGTCTTCGGTTTGCTGGGGAAAAATATAAAAACAAGTTGACAAATTTTATGTACCTATTACTTTTCCCGTGGAACCTTATATAGGATCTGCCAGAAAGTACCTTCTTGAAACACAACAAATTAATTAGTCAGGTAGCTAGATCTGGGGACTCGCAGGGCCGGATTAGTTTTTTTCTTTTGCTTAAAAATATAATCAAGCGCCTCGAGCAGAAGAAGGGGAAAAAAAAATAAAATCAATTACCCATATTATATTTTAATTAGATTAACACTGATAGAAAATAGATTAAACAAAAAAGGTAATCACAATAATTTTTTTTTTAATTTATGAAGTATACTTCTCAATTAATCATATGTTAAAGGATGAAAAAAAATTAAATAAAGGATTGAAAACAAAAAATTATAATTAAAAGAATGAGAATCAAAATTAAAATAAAAAATAAATTAGAGAACATTTAAATTTTTTTATTAAAATATGAAATTGAAAAGAATAATCAATTTAACAAAAAAAATCAAAAGAATAAAGATCAAATTGAAAAAAATAACATATTACAAATTGAAATTAAAGAATAAAACTAAAAAAAATTAAAAATAACCAAAAAAAAATTAAAAATCAAAACAATAAGGATCGAAGTTGAAATCTCAATAAACAAAAGGAAAACTCTAAAAATTTGAATGATCAACACAAATTTTGAGTGAAGGAGAGAGGAAAAGGGGGGAAAACATTACTAGCGACAAACCACCACACATTTATTCCATGTGTTACCCCTATAAGAAAAATACTTCGTGAAGATTCTAAATACACGACATTAGAAATTTTTTTTTTGTGACGTGCTAAGAGCATCCTCTATTCTTTGGCATGTGCTTTGCATGTGATGGCTAGTTTTGATTTTTTTTTAATTATATTTTTTTATTTATTAAAATATTAAATTGCTCTTTAGGCGATTTGAATATAATGAAAAATAAGAGAAAAATATGAAAAAAACCTTTGGTTGTAAATCAAACACAAATATGATTTTAAGAGTAATTTAGATATTTCATTATGATTTTAAAATGTGAAAAGACCTTTTTATCCCTTATCAATGTAATAATAATTAATGGACCTTGTGAAAAGATCGTATTACCCCTAATAACCAATGAATTGATTTTATTGCGAAGGGTAAAATGATTATTACACTATTTCAATGAATAGTAAATCCTCTCATAATGAGCACTTTTTTCCTTCCGGAATTAGCTTTTTTTATTTTTTTCACTTCTATATATAATTCAACTTTGTATATATATATATATAAGTCAAGAAATTATATTAAGATGGCCATCTAGTGGATGAAAACACAACATAAAAAGTGAAAAAAAATTATACAACAAATGATATAAAAATAAAGAAATAAGTTTAAGAATTATAGTTGCCTATTATTCCTAGCAATAACACACTCCTTATTCTTTCACATATCCATGCCAATTTAGCTAAATTTATTGTTGGAAGAATGGATCCATATGCTACTTTGTGAAATAATAGACAAAGAACATATTTTCAATGTGGATTGATTTCCTCGTAGATGAATTTGTTCCTAATTTACGGATTATAACATGGAAGAATCCTTGTAATGCTTTTTATTGAAATTTATCGTTAACCAAGCCTTGTCATTAATTAAATAGATAATCCAAGAATTAAGAAATATACCAATAAAGAACCCTTCAATTTGTTATTTTATTCCAAATATCCTAAGAAATTAAACATTAAAATAGTATATGAGTTGTTATTTCTAAATATGAATTATAAAAAGGACATAGATCTTCGTGTGTTGGTATAATTTTTCTCTGAGCTAAGGAGTGAGTGCATAACTTATTATACATGGTTAACCATATATGATACCATTTATTTGATTGTATATATATATATGCAAATTGATCTAATTAATGACCTTTATTAAACTATCAAGTTGACCTAGATAAGTGCTTCTAATATGTCGGTTCCATTGAGAATTTAATCTTTAACAACTAGCATCCTAAGGTTCCATACTACCCATGATACCATTTATTTGACTAAATAATTAATGAAGATTAGGATAAAGCTTGGACAAAGCCTTTTCACCAACATGAATATCATACCAAAACCAAATAAAGACATCGCTCCTTACTAAAAACCTGCAACTTTCTCTCAAAGCAACTGAAGTTTGTATATCAAAGTTAACAATGTAGTAAGTACAAGACCAAATGAAAGATAAATGGTTTGAAAATAAACATAATCCATTATTAAATCTTAGGCTATCCTTTATATATATATATATATATATATATAAAGGATAGCCTAAGATTTAATAATGGATTATGCTATTTAATAATATATATATATATTCTTCCCATCATTCTCAGTTCCTAAACCCTAATTTTTAAAGTTATTTGAATAAATGAATTTATTTTCTTTTTAATCCATTTAACAAACATGTTCCAAGCTAACTTATGTATTTTTTGCTTATTAAAATGACCTGATGATTAATACTTAAAAGTGTATTTTTATCAAAGTTTCATATCATCATTTTGCACTTGAAGTATCAATAACTCCTTAACTAAAACATGTTTTATAATAACATATCTAATAGTATAAGATACCTTTAATTTGTGGTAAATATTCATTTTAAATACAGGCCTATCACATAAATAAAAAGACTGATTGATGAGTTTAAAAACTGAAATTGAAAGGACAAAGAGATGGCCAAACTTAGAAAAAAGATGCTGGTGTAGCACAAACCAGAACACTATTCAGTAATTAGGTCATATCTGGAGCTGTAGATATCGAATTTAGGTCTACTTTATATGTATGAAAATGTAAGATATAGTCCTAGAACTTTTATATGAAGCTTAAGATTTAAAAAGGCCATTTTCAAATCCAAATTGTAGCAACAACAAAGAAGTCTGAATCTATCCTGCAGTCCGAACACTATTCAAGGTTTGACCCATATCTGGAGTTCTAGAAGTCCAAAT